AGTTCGACGACGAGTGATCTATGGCGGCGAGTGCCATCTTTTTTGTATGCCGGCAGATGTGCCGGCATGACCACGGGAGCCACATGGCGTGGTCAAACTCAAGTCCCACCATTTTTTGTGTGCTGGCATATGTGCCCGCTGGCTGGCGAGTGCGCCAGCATGAACTGTGGTGATATTTTCTGAAACCGGCATTTGTATGCCGACGCTGGCATGATGCCAGCATGATCGTCCGCGAGTTTTTTTTTAAGTTGAATGCGGATATGAAATGGGTCGGCGCGTTGGGCGCATTGCCGAGCCAAATGCAAAACTCGACGGACGCCGGGCGGGCAGCTGACCAAACGGACAAAAGTCGGACAAATGCACCGTCCGTTTGGGTCGGCCCGTTGGAGTTGCTCTAACTCGCGTCCGGCTCGCGGCATGCCATGCCCGTCGGCCGAGGCTCACGTTGACGCTGGCTACTTGGCTGGATTCCCGGGTGGTCTGACGGCGACGGAGCACTGTTCACGCGCGCGGCTGTCCGTCTGCCTAGGTGGAGCGCGCGCCCGCGCGCCCTCCCGGACCGTACCGCCATTCACAAACAGATAAATACGCGGAACAAAACGATGCGTCGCCGTCTCGTCTTCTAATGGGAGAGAAGGCGAAAAGTGCTACTAGGAAGCGCCATCACGAATAATTGAGGATGCTGGTAATGCAATTGGACGCACGAGATAGATGCATGGGATAAATCATCGTGGTACAGGGGCTAATGATGGCGGTGTCCTCCGGAAAAGCTGGTTCAGCGACCGATAATCACATCAATTATTCATTCGCCAAAAGAGGGAAATCATCCAAATATTATACAAAAGCGCTACTACAGTAGTACATGTTGGTGTGCTGGTGCGGCCACATTATTATTATCTACACAAAGGAGAAAGAGACTGCAGTGGTGCCATGCCGGTGTCACCCCGCACTAGGCCTGGCCAACATGTATGTGCAGTGCATGCGTGCATGCGTGCAAACACCTTTCTCAAAATCAAACATATGAGGAGATTCAGAGATTCAGAGATGCCACGGCGGCGGCGCAAGACAAGAACACCAGCCCTGGTTCAGCTTCTCGTGCTCGACTGGCTTCCGTCCTCGGCGGGGCTCCTCGCCTGCTTGCCGTTGCGCACGGAGGCACTCTCCGGGGCGGCCCTCTTCGGCCTCGGCTGCACACATAAACAAACAAACAAACACACTGTTGACAACACTGGTTTCCTTGTTGGTCTATCTGCTCTTCCTTAAGGTCTTGGTCAGCTCACCTTGTTCTCCGAGTTCTGGTAGAAATGCCTCAACAGGATGTTCCTGGGCTCCGTCGTGATCACTGCAGTTCCAGGGGTCACCGGTCAGTACAAAAATTACCACAAGAATGGTGATAGAAAAGCGGTTCCCGTGCGAATGGATGCGCCTCCATGGGAAATTAATTGACTTTTGAACATGTGTATTCCCTCCGTTTCTAATTATACAAGTCTGTAGAGATTCCAATACGGACTACACACGGAGCAAAATGAGTGAATCTACACTCTAAAATTTGTCTATATACATCCGTATGTAGTCTGTATTGAAATATCTAAAAAGACTTGTATTTAGAAATGGAGGGAGTATAAACTAATGTACTCAACCAGAGATGCACAACGCACAACTAGCAGTTAGTTTCATTAGCGATTTGTAGAAAATCTATCTGCCTGATGAACAATTTGCCACACAAGAAGTTCATAAGAAATAATATAACGCAGAAGCTGGCAAAAAAGGAAGCAGCTCCATCCCTGTAATTAGCCAAATGAACTAAGTGTTCAGTGCATTTCAGTCAACCAAAAGTTGCAGCACAACTCTGAAACTTCAAAGTTCAGTGTTATTCAGCTGATTTTAGTTCTTGTGTTTTTTCTCTATGTTAGTAACTAATAACTTCTTCACACATAATATCCTATTTTTGAATGGAAAACAATCCTATAGTTTTTTTAATTTAAATTAACCTTTCTTTGTAGAGTTCTAGGAGTACGCAATAAAGTTTTCACTGACATGAGTCTCCATCACCATCGAAGGACAAGCTGGGGACAAAACAAACCATCCTGACTCCTGTCTCACACTGGAGGTGAACTGCTGGCGAAGAAGGCCAGAACAGCTCTTGTTGCTGCGCGTCTGGTGGCACTCTGATCTTTGCATAGACCATGACCACCTCTCTCATTTGCAGTGTTTATCTTTCAGTGTGTCCTTCATGCTAGAGTTTTACAACTTTTACTTTCTTGCTGTCTCTAGATTTTGGTAAAACCTTTCTTTGAGGGTTTACAACTGGATGTCTGTTTTGTACAAGACTGTTTTACTCTGGTTTCAATCAATGAAATCATCTAAAAAGTTTTCACTGACCAGCTGGGCCGACATGTCAGGATTTTTGATAATTCAAGCTCACCTGGTAAATTTATTACGACCAGACAAATGGCCCATAAGCCTATGAACCGAAAACCCACCTATTTTCTTGATTCATCATTAGGCAACTGCTTGCCCCTTCCACTTAACTCAAGCAATTCCTCTCAAGGACTGAGCGCTACAATATCTCCTTGCCGAAGGACTCTTAATAGGAGTTCTCTAAGAATTCAACTTGAAGGGAACCTAAAAGAATCTACCTTGAAGGTGTAAAGAATGCAAGTCTGACATCACTGCTATGTCCTGGCCCTTTAAGAATTTCTTAACTAAATCTCATCTTCCTGCTCCTCATGCTCCCAAAAGAAAAGCTAACTTGTAGACTAAGAATTCATATCAGTGCAACCTGCAGACCTGTATGAAATGCACGACATCCCTGGGACTATTTGATTTAGGAAAAGGGAGGTGCGCTGCCATTATGGATTGAAATTAAACCAAGTACTCCCTCTGTAAAGAAATATAATAAAGGGCAAAAGGTAAAACCCAAACACGCTAGGGTGTCCCTACGACTGTGCCCGGGATCATGGGAGGAGGCATATGCCCATGGCCACTGCACTATCTCCTCTTGGATCATTATGACCACATCCAAAGGCTGCAGGTCATGTTACGAAAGACACGGCAGTACCGTTCCTTCCAAACCACCCACACCATGTAAATCAGTGACATTTAATTATTGCAAGCACTTCAGAGTTTTCTCAAGAAGTTCAATTACCAACAACGATAGCCAACTATGACACGAATCTCAATCCCATTAAGATACGATATTTTAGATGAAAATAAAGTATGTAGTGGTTTGAAGCTTACTAATATGGCTCGGTATAATTGGGCATGCTTTCATAATCTTGAAATGTCTCAATGGAACAGATAATATTTTCAAAGTGAGACTTTAACATTTATGAAGACCTAATATTGGACAAGGTCGACATTCGAATGAAAAACTGTGGTACTAGAGGAAATAAATTGAGCTCCAGTTAGGTAATCAAGGTGAGTAGTTCAGTCTTATACAGTGCTAAAACAGGTCTAACTGAATTATCATCCATAGCTATTTACTGGTAATCACCACTTATCCGCACTAACCTTGATTCTTACAGACCAGGGGCTCAATTGATGACGGGTGATGACCACTATAAGCATATTCGGTGTTCAATCACTATTGGGCAAATAAGATTGCCACCATTTGTGTAGGACATGCAGAACATACTCCCTCTGTTCTTAAATAGTTGTCTTTCTAGAGATTTCAACAAGTGACTACGTACGGAGCAAAATGAGTGAATCTACACTCTAAAATATGTCTATATACATCCGTATGTGGTAGTCCATTTGAAATCTCTAAAAAGACAAATATTTAGGACGGAGGGAGTAGTACCATGGATACAACATATGGGAGTTAATGTGGCATGACAATGGGGAATTAAAAGTGCTTGAGTACATATCACATCTGGACATGTAGCATCATAATTTCTTGAGCACAGATCCCATGACATTGCCAACACCATTGCCAAACTAACATCATAAAAAAGGAGAGCCAAATTTAGGAAAAATCCTGCGAAATGCTTGGCCTAGCAGAATCAATCCACGCCCTTTCGACATTACTGGGAACATAATATGGACTCTCATGGCTAAACATGATGCCCTCCTGAAAGAAAAGACATCCATCTGCCTACATAGCTTTTAGTTCAGATCAATAAGTTGCTGAAACCTATTTTGCCATGGGGAGTACTATTATATAGAGAATTTGACGCAGTGCAAAGGAGCATACATTCAATCACCCGCAAAAATTAATGGGGAAATCAGGCAGGGTAAAATTGCACAAGTGAGAAACAGCACAGAGACATTGGTTGAATAAATATGTGGCAGGGAATACCTTGATTTGGAGGTGGATCTGTCCTATGTGCTGCAATGTAAGTTGTTGGTGTGACATTCTGGTGGGAAACAAACACAAACGGTGAGGATCAGCATTAGCACCGTGTCAACCAAATACTAATACACTTGCAACATTATAAGTGTTAGCATCATTTTTTCGCCCTTCCGGTCTGCCTTTTCTGTTTCTGATGAATTCTACGTCACTGTGAAGAGAACCACAGAGGAAACTAGTATGCCTAGCAAGCTAGCACCACATCAACTGAACATATGACTTGCAGTACAGTACACATGGCAACAACCACCATAACCATGCCCAAAAGGGACCTAAACCTAAATGCCTATTCATTCTGCAAAATCCCTCTGAATATGATCCAATCGCTCGACGGCTGGGCTTGAATCAACAGACAGCTACAATCATTATCCATCTAGTATACCACAATTCCAGCAGAGACGCACGCGCGGGCGCAGTACGAGTAAACTCCTAATGCCTGGCTCAGGTAGCAGACGCGACTCCGGTCCCCTTTTGGGCACCGACGACGAACTCGTCACTTGTGCAAGCAAGCACGGCACCTGCAACCTGTGGAATCAGGTGCCCTCCGACTCGAGCATACCCTAGCAGTGTGGTACGAGGCAGGGCAGGACAAAGAGACCACGCAGAGGGAGGGAGGGAGGGGAAGGGGAGCTGACTGACCGTGGGCTGGGCGGAGGGGTCAGCCGGGACGAGCTGGCTGAAGTTGTGCGGGTTGTGGCTCGGCCAGCCGCCCAGCGGGCTTCCCATCGCCGCTGCCGCCGTCCGCGACCGCGATGTGTGTGCCGTCTCTCGCTCCGGCCAGGCTCTCTTTGCCGACAGTTGGTAGCAGAGAGCAGACATGTGTAAGCAGTGTAATGGACCACGCCAAGAAACAAGTCTCCGAGAGACACGCACGCTTCTTCACCGCTTCGGCCCACTCATCATCCCAGGCTTCATTATGGCCCACTCATTCTAGGCTTCATTGTGGCCCACTTATCCTAAGCTTCATTATGGCCCACTCATCCTAGGCTTCATTATGCGGCCCGCAGATGGGCCGGCCCAGTTTTGTTTTGTTTTCTGTTTTCGTTTTCCGACAGAAAACAAACCAACTTTATTATGGCCCACTCATCCTAGGCTTCATTATGGCCCACTCATCCTAGGCTTCATTATCCGAAGCAGCATAATGAAGCCTAGGATGAAAGTTGGTTTTCGCTGCTTCGTTTTGTTTTCTGTTGCTTTTTTTTTATTTTCTTTTTTTTCTTTTGTCCGTTCACTGAAAGTTGGTTTTTTCTGGTTTTCATTTTCTTGTGTGGTTTGTTTAACTTGACCGGGTAAAATGAGATCTTCTTACATTGGAAGCCCGTGGGTGTCAAACAGGGAGGCTCTGCAGTGTACAGGTGGTGGTGGGAGGGTTCAGATGAAGCGTACGGTGGTCTTTTACGGCAGCAACCATTTGGGACAAATCCAAATAGACGCAAAATCGTACATGGCGACATCTCTCTTGCCACCATAAAATCGTACATAGACCAATTCGGTTTTACGTTTTTTATCTTGTACTTTATTTTTTACTTTGCCATTTTCATTTATTTTTTCATAAACCTTTTTTATTTTTTTATAAACCGCAAAAAATCCATTTCATTTTTTAAAAAAAATTGGTGAACATTTTCAAATCAGTGAATATTTTTACAATTCCTGAGAAGTTTTAGAAACGAATGAGCTTTTTCCAAATTTGTGAATTTGGAATTACTGCAAATTCTGGAACTTTTTAAAAATATATAATTTTTTCCAAATTTGTGAACAATTTTCCCTTTTGTTTGCTACAACAAAAAACATGCACCTACCGGTTCAAGAAAAAATAGCTACCAGTTTTAACTGTGACAGTTCACCCCAGACTTTTAGAAAAAACAAGAATTGTACAAAATGTGAATTTTTAAAATATCCATGATTTTGACAAAAGCATTCATGATTTTTTTAACTGAGTTTTAAAAAGATTTCGTGAAATCAAGAATAGTGCATGAATTAAAATCACCAATTTGTAAAAAGTTCAAGAATTCAAAACATGCTCGTGGAAAATTAAAAATATTTCATGAATTTATAAAATATTCACAAATTCAAAGAAGTTCACGAACTTGTTAAATATGTGGAAATTTGGACAAAAAATGTCAAATTTGAAAGAAAACTTGTGGTTTCAAGAAAATAAAAAAAATCGAAAAATATAATAAAAGAAAATATTGAAGAAAATAAAAAGGCTTTTTAGACAAAAAAAAGGTAACAAATAAAAAATTCAAAAAAATGACATCCTGGAAAAAAACATAGAAAATGTCGCTCCTTAGGTAACCTTTCAAAAGATCTCCAAAATCGATGCCGAAAGGAAACACAATATATGGGCTGGCTCACTATGGCAAGTTCGGGAGCGTGTAGGCTCGTCGTACCAAATTGGCGATATTTGGTGTTATAAGTGCCAAATAGGATTTTGCCTAATTGGGGGAACCCTGCAAGGGGTCACTTCCTGCGTGTGGAAGCGATCCAGCCGCTCCACATGGTGCACCCTAGCGCTGACACATGACGTTTATCCCATCGGGGCGTTTTTTATTTTACCTTTTCAGATTTTTTTCTCGGAAATGTTAACGCCCACACGTGTGCGCGTTTGCACATCGCCCACACGCCTCCATCATCACTCATTTTGCCACGTATGAATAGATGACATCAGCAGATTTTTTTTGGTTTTCGGCTTAAAAATGTTGTATCTCCTAAATAAAAAAGCAAACTAAAAATCCGTTTTCACCATTAAATCCGTCTCGACGAGATCTTCAAAACTAGACCCCATATTGATATGTTTCGACAATTTTTTTTTGCCAGAAGTTGCGACGATGTTTACACTGCAGTTGCCATAGGGCTTAAACTAAAGTTGCCATGTGGCAATTTTAGTTTGTAGATCATGGCAATTTTAGTATTTTGATGATGGCAACTCCAGTACTTTGACCATGAAAATTATTTTTTGTATGAACCATGGCAATTTTACGTGCATGTATCATGGCAATTTTAGTTTATGGTTCATGGCAAGTCTAGTTTCTTAATTCCCCGTTTTATAAATGTCAAAAATTACTTTTAAATGTAGAAGAAAATAGCTGAAACATATCATGGCAACTTCAGTGTAAACATCATGGCAATTCATATGCAATAGACATGACAACTTTTAATCCAAATTTTTTTTTATTAAAACATATCAACATGGGATCTAGTTTCGAAGATCTCATCGCGAGGGATTTAATGGTGAAAACGGATTTTCAATCGGATTTTTCGTTTAAGAGATAAAACATTTTAAAAACTGAAAATTCAAAAAGATTCCTGCATGCATGCATGCGATGACGTGACAATCTGTTTACATTAGAGACGTGTGGTGCATCTCCCTTCCTCCCACACGTGTGGCAATTAGCGCGACCCTTTTTTCTTGATTTCCAATTTTTTTCCTGTTCTTTTATTATTAATTTTCTATGTTTATTTTGTTTTCTATTTCCTCAGGTTTTTTTTGAATTTTTGCCTGCTAGGAACACAAGTGTTTTGCGTGCTCCACGTGAGAGCACATGTGTGCTTCGCACCGAAGCACGAGTGTGTTGTGCTCCCACATGGAGAACAAGTGTGCTTTATGCGTAAGTACACATATTACTCCGGGATGGAGCACAAGCGTACTTCACCACGGGAAGCACAATTTAGTTTACATGGAAAGCAGAGTTGTGTTTTCACGGGGAGCAAAGGTGTACTTCTTCGCGGGAGCACAAATTATTTTTATTTCAGAGAACTGGGTTGATACGATTTGGAAGCACATGTTAGTTCACTTTGGGGGCATAATTTTTACATGAAAAAGTTCAACGCCATCTGTTAACATGGGATCTAATTTCAAAGATCTCTGTGTAAGGTAGCAGAGGTGTGCTTCTATACGGGTTATTTTCATTTCAGAGAACCGAGTTGGTACGATTTGAAAGCACATGTTAGTTCACTTTGGGAGCATAAGTTCTACCTAAAAAAAGTTCAACGAAATCTGTTACATGGGATCTAATCTCAAAGATCTCTAAGCAAGGGATGCAACGATGAAACGGTTCATGTTTTGAACACTCGATTTAAGATATAAATTATTTTGAAAACTGGATGTAGAAGAAAAGGCACAAACAAACCCACCCTCTTGCACGTGGGAAGAAAATCCCACCAAAACTCCCATATGGCGCACATGCTATGCACTATTTGTCACCATCTGAAATGTAAGTGACCTTTGTAAGGGGTATCCCTTAACTACTAATTTCACTTTCTTTTTAGGGTAGTATGGTGGTCTTTTACAAAAACCCTTATACAACGAACTGCGTCAAAATGATGGGGTGTTGCACAAGAGATGTTCGTGGGTCGGTGATCCTATTAGAATGTGGGCTCCTATTTTTTCTCCTTTCAGCTTCCAATTTTTTAGATTTAGAAATATGGTATTGCAAGATTAAACATAATCATTAAAAAAACAAATATTTCCGTAAGTTGTAAAAAAATATTCTCGCATTTTAAAAATGTGTGTGTATTAAAAAAATCACGTACTTAATTACAAAGAAGTGTTCTTATATTTATTCTTTTAACAAAAATTAAAAAACCTTTCCAAATTTAATAAATGTCCTCTCGAGAAGAGAAGGCGGGATTGTAAGTGGTGGCTAACTTTCGCTTTCGGGTTCGTGTTCAACGAGATAAGCACGTTAAAATCACTAGAATCACTATAAAAAAAACACATTTCCGTGATGATACGTGTTTGTCACAGTAGGTCCGTTTTTTGTCATGCATGTACATCCATGACGATTTTATGGCAGAATCAAGATAGTCATACCTGTGCTGTCGTAGAAGTGTTCCATAACATTGCCAAAATTATCATCATGGAAGTGTCCACTTCCATGACGATAAATCACGCGTCACAGAAGTGCTTTCGTTAAGGATGACCGACACGTGGCCTCCACCGTAACGGAACGCCGTTAAGCTATTGGGCCGGGTTTTGGATCCGATAACCCGTTAACAGCCCCGACCAATGGGAAATTTCCACGCGTAAAATTCTTATTGGCCGGACGAAACACGTGTCAGCTCGTAAGTGGGTCAGATAGGGGCCTATGATATGTCGACACGTGCCACGGCCCACCACTAGCCCATTTAGCTTACAAAGCCGGCCTGTTTGACTTGGTCAAAAGTTAACGGGCTGGCCCATGAAAAGCCTGTTAACGGTCTCTTTGCAAATAGCCCATTTTACGACCCGGTAACTCACGACCCGTTAGGCCCTAATGAAAATCGGCCCAACAATGTCATTGGGCCGTCGAATATAACACCAGCCCATTTCACTTTCGGCCCATGTATGGCCCACGATGTCTTTCGGCCCATATGAGGCCTTCGTATCTTTAGGCCCTTTACAGGCCTACGGTGACTCTAGCCCATAATAAACAATAATTTTCTTTGTACCCATTAACGGCCCATGATTCACATGGGTCGTTTCCAGCCCGTGTTAGCTTTTGGCCTATTGACGACCCATACGTTCGTGGGCTCCTTTCCGGCCCTCGATTACTTCCGGCCAGTTACTGGCCTGTTCCCCTAATGGGTCAAATTAGGCCCATGGCAAGAGTCGGCCTGTTTCTGGCCTGTTAGCTGTTGCACCGTTTCCAGCCCGTCCTATATTCTAGCGCATTAACGACCCGTTATGCCTGTGAGAGAATTAAGCCTTTGCTGTCCTCTGGCCTGTTAATGGCCCGTTACCATGCTGGGCCGATACCAATTACGCCCATTTACGGTCCATGTAGACCCATTTATCCGACGGCCCGAGGCCCACCGATTCTACGGCCCTGTTGGAGGCC